CGGGGACGGGCGATCGCGGCGCGGGGGGCCCTTCGAGGTTGCCTCCCCCCACATCTACCCTGCCGCGCGAGGGTTCGCCTCCAGACCCAGCCTCTGACGCCGGATCCCCGTCCACCCCAGAGCCGCAGACCGCCCCCCGCCCCCGGCGCCCGGCGGACCTGGGCCTCGGGTGAACGGGGCGAGGGGAGGAGGGGGTGGGGGTCCCCGGAGCGGAGAGGACGCGCGCGGCTCTGGGGACAGAGGTCCGGGAGCCGCGGCCTCGGGGGGCGCAGAGCGCACGGAGCTGAGGCCGGCAGCCAGGTGAGCCCGGGAACCGCGGGCGGCGTTGGGGGAGCTGGGGGCGGGGGACGGGGTCAGCGCGTCTGCGGACAGGGAGACTCAGGTTTGCAAAGTAGATGGGTTCTCCCCCCGCCCCAGCCAGGGCCTGGGCACCCCCTGTGGGGAACCTACCTAGAGCAGGGATTTAAGGGGTGTTGAACTCTTACCCCCCCACCCCACCCCACCAGCCGTGCTTGTGGATGCGCCGTGAACCCTGGGCTATTAGGACCCCCTTCCACCATGTTCCCAGAGACCTTCCTCTGGCTTTGGCTCTGGGGTCCTGACCTGGGCGTTGTGGGGGTTCTTCCCAAAGGCCTGGTCGTCAGCATTCTGAAATGGAATGCCCATCCTAACTCCAGTGAGCTCTCTCCCATGCCCTAGGAGCTGGGAGGAGCCAGAAGCCTGGTCGGCTGTGCCCCCCACTCTCTCCCCCGCAGGTGTTAGCTGAGATTCTGCTCCCTGCCAGACCCGCCCCCCCTCAAACTGCAACCAGAGTCTCTTGCCTGTTCCTGCACAGGACTCCACCCCCCTGCCTACATCTGGGTACTAGGCCCTGCGTGCCTTCACCCCTGCCTACTGATCTTGGCAGTCTGGCACCCTCTCTCCTCCCATCCCTGGGGGGGCTGGCGTAGGCCCAGCAGAGCTGATGTTGTAATGTCCCTGGCAGTGCCCATGGAGAAGATCTGCCCAGCCTGTTCCCAGTCAGTTAAGTCAGGCCTTCCACCCGCCACGGGAGTTTGACTCAGGCTCTGGAACAGGAGATGATAGCTCTGAGCTGAGAGACCAGAGGCTGGGAGTGGTGGGGGCTCTCTGTAGTCCGGGGCAGCTGTCCCACTAATGGGGAACTGGGGACTTGGTGCTGCTCAGCTGAGCACCAGCCTTTTCAGGGCAGTGGACATTTTCCTTGGAGGAAGATTGGGATGGGTGGTGTTTCGGACCTAAATGACCTAGGGAGAAGGTTGTTCCATTGGCGTCTGTTGGTCTGTTAAGGGTGTACGAAGGTGGCCAGGACAGCGCAGTTTCTAGAATGCTGGGAGTCATAGACCTAGATGGCTGAGCGGTGGACAGCAGGCAGCCCTCCCAGCTCCTCTCCATTCCTTCCTCCCTGGCCTCAAGGGGCCCAAGATCTCCTCTGCACCCCAGGTGGAAAGGGGTTGGCAGTGTCTGGAAGGCATGAAGACTCGGTTTCCCTTTCTCTGTTTGGCTCTCTCTCTGGAAGCATCCCCAAGGGGACCGGTTCCCAGCTGGACTTGGGGTGTTACAGGGCCTCCAGAAAAGGAACAGGAGCTCCCAGGACCCCTTACAGAACCAGCCCTACACAAGCACACAAACACACCTCCCAGCTGCCTGCTGCTGCCCACCGCATTCATATGCATTCCTTAGCCTTCTGCCAGGTAGACATACCCCCAGGCACCTGCGGACAAAGGTGCTGCATCTTGCCCTCACCTAGCTTTCACTCCTCATCCCTTCTACACATGTACCACTTGTTCCAGAACTCTCCTTAGCACTGTCTCCCAGAGACATGCATGGGCCTGGTTAATGCGTAGTTAGAATGGCTCATTCTCTGCCTTCTGTCTGGCTAGATCCAGGCACTGACTGCATTTTAAAAGGCTCCCTAGGCCTGGGAGTAGGAGGCACATGTGTCTCATGAGTGGGCATGAACTGGAGGACATTCTGAGAGGCAGGAGGCCTCCGGGGACCTCAGGACTGCCCTCAGCTAAATAGTCCACCAATTAGCTTCTCCATCCTGGACAGCAGAGAGGTCGAGAGCTGGAGGACAGCTGCCTCCTCCTCCCTGTCTGTCTTAGCTGCCACCTAAAGCCCGATGGGATTTTTTTTTTCAAGGCAGAAGGCCAGAGCACGGAGAGAGCTACTCTGAGGATCTCCAGCATACAGATGAAAGAGTACAGGCTGAGCATGGATTATGCTGGAATTTCCTGGGCATTGAAAAGCTGCTGAGCAGGACAGAGGACAGGGCCATAGGCTGACACCCCCTCCCTCCCCAACGCTCACCCTGCAGTTAACAGGTGTAAGAACCAGACCAGCAACCGCCACAGACCTAAAACCACTGGCCTGTCTGTCCTCAGGGATACTCCCTCTCCTGGACAGCAGCCATCCTAGCAATCTGGAGCCAAATTGTTTCTCTGTTTCTTCTAGCAATGATACCTTTCTGATAGGCTAGCCACCTCCACAGCCATTCCCCTCCATGGCCCTTTCCTTCTGTAGTCCCAATTCCTTAACTTGACCTTGTAGGAGAGAAACTTGAGGCTGATTTGAACTTCTTGGGAGAGGGGGTTTTGAGAGAATATCCAGGGATAAAAGTTTATCTGGCCTTCAACTGCTCCACTCTCAGTCTCTATTTTCCTTTTACCATCTAAGAAGATCCTTAGATATTTTCAAATCCAGAAGGTAAAAGGAAGAAGAGATTCAATGTAAATAGAGGCTGTGTTTGTCTAGGTTATAAAAGCATCTTCCTTTCCTTGTTTAGATTTTTAACTATAAAAATAAAGTATGCTGTTGTAACAAGAAGAATATCCAGAGAGGTGTAAGACAAAATTAATTATCCCCACCTACATCCTCCATCTCTACATCCTCTACCTCCTACCACAGCTAGTTTTAATGATCTAATATATCTCTGTCATACCTTCTTTCAGGCCAATTTGGCTTATAAGATCAATTTTTAAAAAAAATTACTTTGTAGATCGAGATGCAGAAACTCTATTAAGTAAGCTGGATTTGTTTTTACAAAGTATAGGTACTTAACATTTAATTTTAGCAGTTAATTTTTAAAGCTCTTACAGATTTGCTAATTGAATATGCTTGCAAATCTTTCATTTTTCATAGAGAACAGACTGCGTAAGCAATGCTCTACGAGCTACATTTCTACATCTCTAATTTTTGCCAGTTTCTGAAAATAAAATACAACCTTGCTGCCCAAGACTTTTCCTTGCTTTTTTATAAACCACAGAAGTGTGGCAGGCTCTAGTGTCTCCTCTGTATCAAAAAGACAGAATGTGTTATCTACAGAAACCGAGCTGGGATTTTATTTTATTTTTTTAATCACAGGAAACTTTGTCTAATCAGTCTCATTTTCTGAGCTATCATTCTACATCCACATTTTTTGCTGCTTCGAGTGTTTTATATTTTTAAAACTTTGTACACATTTGAAATATGAATGTTTTCCTGATTGAGACCAGTTTTCTGCACTTTTCTGTTGTTGTTGCAGGATTTCTAAACCCTGGCCATTTCTTCTCATGAGCTGTAGTAGACAGAGGAATGGAAGGAAGGCTAGGAGAAGGAGGAGTTAGGGTCCTGGCCTTGTAGGTCATATCTTCCATCGATCTCCACCCTTGTGTGGCCACAGGGATGTACTGGGCTGTGTCCAGGATGCTCTCCTGGACCAAATGCAGAGATGTTGCATTCCTAGAACCAACGAAGCTGTCTTCGAAAGTCATTTTCTAAGTCCTACCTGTTTAATATTCCAGGCATGAGCTGTACTTGTGTTCTTGTCTCCTGTTTTTCTACCTTTGAAACTTGCTTCAGAAGAACCTGCGGTTGTATGAATTAGTTGACAGCAATTTATTCCATATCTTAAGCTTTCCTCCTCTCTTATTTTCTTTCTCTTAAGACAGATACACTGAACATTAGTTTTATATGTTAAAAATGATCATTGATTTGTCAGAGAAGCAAAACCTGATCAAATTGCCTATTCTGACTCAGCAACTTTTCCCCCCTCCCTGAAGACACTTCTTTTTAACGTTCAATATTCTGTGTCTGAATCTGAAAGGAATTCTCATCCAACATGAGAATGCACTTCTGGATTCCTTTAAGATCTTTGTTTCTTTTTAATTGATTACCTTTGTTCTTAGTAAAATTTCAAAAAAAAAAGTGGCTCAAGCAACAATCTACATGTAGTGTTTCCATTTATTCTTTCTGATTCTTGAAGACAGAAGCTAAGTGTCTTTAGCATATTTTTTAAGTGCTTTTACTCTTTTCTGGACCTTTCAGAGAAAGGCCAGCTTCATGTTGTCATAAAGATGCATGATAGGTTCTACGCCAGAGCACCATATTGCAGTCCCCAAACAGTGTTACTTTTATGTGTCATCAAAGCCAACATCTTGTCCTTCCTCATGTTCTAGAATGTTCCATGCTGTACAACCAATATTTCTGGTGGTGCATCTTTTCCTATCTTGCGTTGTTCTCTTTCAGACAACAATGGCAAAAATATCATTGTGATGTTAACAAAACACTTATTATTTCTTCTTCATAATTGTCTAGTTGTAAGTTTAGGTGGGCAGTGTTTATTGTTACTTTGTATACAGATTACAGAATGTGTGCATGTTCCACTGCAAAGAGCCTATTTTATGGCGTATCTTCTGGGAAAAACAGTGAAACAATCTTCCTGGCCTACAAGCTTTCTTTGGGCATATTCTGTTCTTGATAAGCCTGTGCTGGAAGGCTGTGGCTCTGGACAGAATCTGATTTGCTTTGGTGTGTCTAGCAAGTCCTCCAAGGAAGGTTTTAGATTTGGGTGGTTGGACCTGCACGGTGAATTGTTCCAGATGTTTACTAAACAACTAGTGTTGATAGACCAGCATTGTGGAAATGAAGAGGGCATTGTGTACTCTTATTCTGTTATCTCCCTTCTCTTCTCTTGTGCTGGTAGGTAATCTGTGAGTGATCCCAGAAGTGTTTAGGAGTTATTTGAAGAGAATCTCTATGTTTGTTTTTTTTTTTGGGGGGGGTCCGGTCATGGGGCTTGAACTCTTGGCCTGGGCGCTGTCCCTCAGCTCTTCAGCTCAAGGCTAGCGCTCTACCACTTGAGCCACAGCGCCACTTCTGGCTTTTTTCTTTTTTGCTTCTGTGGTGCTGAGGAATCGAACCCAGGGCCTCATGCATGCAAGGCAAGCGCTTTACCACTGAGCCACCTTCCCAACCCTCTCTATGTTTTTTTAAGGAACTAATTATTATGTGGAAGTGCCTCTTAGTTGCTTCCACAGGCTCTGAGTTGAATTATTTTGTGCATAGGGTATCAGAGGGATGGTTGGTTTCAGTGACTCATTGGAAGATGGCCACTGTACCTCGACCTATAAGAATATAGAAAAGGTGTCTCTCCATGAGAGTTTTATGAGGCTGACACTTGAAGGTTTCATCTTACAGCACAGTTACCATGACCAGAAGAGAAATGAAGGGTGCAAGAATTAAATTATAAGTTTTATTATTGATCATAGTGAAGTGTGGTTTCATGGCTTGGTTTTGGTTCCATTGGGTCACAAGACAACACATATCCAAGGGGGCAAGTCCTTTCTTGTGAGCAATATGAGCATCATGCCTCCCCCTGCTTATTTTTCTCAACCATAGTAAATCAGTCAAATTGTCCTGTCTGGGCAACACACAGACTTTGAGACAAAACAGCGGAGAGAGACAGAGTACCACCCATCTCTAGATCAATAAACAGAGAAGATTCCCGGTCCTCTGGTCTTCCTGTCGCCCTAGGGCCACGCCTACAGACATAGCTTGTAGGCTTCGTGCTCTGGCTTTCAGAGACTCAGACAGGTTTCCTAAGCCAGAAAAATTACTCTTAGGGCATAGTCAGTATTTTTGATTCATCTTACTAGAAAGTTAACTATACTCTTAAAAGAAACTTTTAATGATTTAGTTGAAAAGATATTACATGCACGAACATTTTAAATATAGAACTTAGACTACAACAAGAAATAAATCTCCGTGCCCCCCAATCTCCTTCTTTTTCTTTCTCTTCAAGTTGCATATATCCCTCCCAAAATACCCTCCCATACATATGTATTTGTTCTTCTTAAGCTTGAAAGTGGGAGATGACACTGTTTTTCACATCCTCCTTTCACGTGGAAATCATTTTCATATCTGCACATAAACAGCCCATGCGCCTTGTTAAGAATGTGTCACCATCTCCCAACCATCTTTCTATTCATAGACAGTCTTTCCCCTATAAGCAATTCACAGACGCTCATGCTGCCACCAGGCTTAGACCTGTAATCCCAGCTATGCCGGAGCCTGAGATCTGAGGATCAAAGTTTGAAGCCAGCAGGAAAGTTTTAAAGAGGCTTTTCTCCAGTGAGCCATCAAAAAAACCAGAAGTGGAGTGTGGCCCAAGTGGTAGAGCACTAACCTTGAGCAAAGGGAAAGCACTCTGGCCTTCAGTTCAAACCCTAGTATACATAGACACACATGCGCGCGCGCACACACACACACACACACACACACAGTCCACAGGATTTTCTTCTTCAAACTAATATGGTGCACCTGAAGAATTTCCTAGAAGTAGAGCCACTAGATGCCTATAGCAGCTGTCATCCACACATCAGTATCACAGTGTGAACTCCTAAGCAGCCACACATTGAAGAAACCCTGTTACTCGTATTTTCTCCAGCATGGTGTGTTATTCATCTCATAGGTAGCAATGATGTCATATAATCAATTCCACCTGCAATAACAAAAATGTCACAGATCAAGTGACTTTGAAACAATAAAAAGTTATTTGTTAGTGTTTGGAAGGCCAGTCTGAGATCAGGAGCGCCCGCATGACTGGGTACTTGTAAGGGCTCCCTTCCTTGGTTGTAAATAGTTCTTTTATACTATAGAGAGAGGGAGCTGGAAATCGCTTTGGGGTCTCTTTTCTAAGACCACTAATCCCCTTCATATAAATCCTTATGACTTAATTATCTCCCAGATGCCTGGCCTCCTAAAACTATCACCACAGTGGCCAGTATATAAACATCCAGTCTATAACAAATGACACATCACTGTTGTTCTAATAGGCCTTCCTTTAAATATGAGCAAACGATGCATCTTTTCCTATGTTCTACGCTTTTTCGGTAAGCCATGGGAGGGAATGCCCCCCTTAGGGTAGAGAATCTTTGTTCAGAAAGTGTGCCTACATCACTTTCCTCTTCTTACACAACCTCATTTATCTTTCAGAATCTTGATGCCTGTGCTCTTTCTACATCTGTTCCACCTTCTCTTCCTCATACCCCACAGCCATCTCTCTGTGTCCTTCTCACTTCCCTGCCTCCGTGAAATGTCTGGAGCATCCATAGTGGTATTACAGGGGGTGAGAGCGGGGGGGGGAGGGCATAGCGGGGGGACACACTAGCACCAGGAGAATTCAAGTGTCTTTAAGGATAGAAAATCTTCTGCACCACCTGTCTTTAACAAGAACAGTTTTCTAATTTCCATACTGCTGGCAGAGCAGGGGAGGAGAGTAAACGGGAAAATTGTAATAACTTCTTCCAGAAGAAAAGAGTAAAAGTAAAACTGAGCCGGCATTACCCTATGCTCCTCTAAGGAGACCCCTAAGACACATTCACATAGGGAGTAGAGCTGAGCAACCTGGTACGTGATCTCCCATGCAGGTCGAGTCTGCATGACTCACTACAGACAGGGAGAGCTGCAGGTGACCCAGGACCCGGTGTGGGCAGCTGGGCTGTGTGTGGATCCTCTCTCCTACCCCTTCTGATTCTGTGTCTTTCTAGGAAGCAAGCTTAGCTGCAGATCCTCAGGCTTTGAAAAAGCCTCAGTCCCACCAGGGAGCAGAGTGATGGCCGGGGCAATGGTGGGCACCCCGAAGATGTCCGATGGCTACTGAAGGGACTATCCAGTCAGGGAACCGAGTGGCGGGCATGGTGTACAGCCTGTGGATCCTGGTCCTGGGGCCCTCAGTTCTGGCTCTGGAAGGTAAGGAGAGGAGGCAGAGACTTCCTCTTTTCAGGGGAGCTTAGGGTGGGTGGGAAATAGAAGATTCAAAAAAGGCAAAGAAGAGGGCTGACTTTGATCAAAAAAGGAAAATGTAGGACCCGATCATGTATTTCAGAAACAGGATCCTGGCGTTGGGTTCCTGCTGGCTAGTTAAATGGACCAGGGAAGGAGAACTCCTTCCTTCTCCATGGGGGTGGAGTGGGGGTTAATAGTGCTAGCTGGAGGTTTGGCAACATGTCCCCCTTTATCTCTGGACAGAGGTGCTGCTGGACACCACAGGAGAGACCTCTGAGATCGGCTGGCTCACCTCCCCACCAGGTGGAGTGAGTGTCACTCTTCATTCATTCTTCCCCACCCCCCTAGTCCCCTAGAGAGCCCTGCTCAGGAAGGGAATTCTGGGTAGAGGGAGTAAGACTCCTCCCTAGAGGAACAAAATGGAAAGGCATCCACTCCATGCTTGGCTTGTGTCCATTTTAAGGCTCAGTGGAAGAGGCTTCTCCTTTACTGTCACCCTCCCCCTCCCCCCTCCCTCCCTAACCCCTGAGCAGCTAATACTTCTCCTGGTCCCATTTCTCGCCCCCCTCCTGCAGTGGGACGAGGTGAGCGTTCTTGATGACCAGCGGCGCCTGACAAGGACCTTCGAGGCATGCCACGTGGCGGGGGCCCCTCCCGGCACTGCCCAGGACAATTGGTTGCAGACACACTTCGTGGAGCGGCGAGGGGCTCAGAGGGTCCACATCCGACTGCACTTCTCCGTGAGGGCATGCTCCAGCCTGGGTGTGAGTGGGGGTGCCTGCCGGGAGACCTTCACCCTGTACTACCGCCAGGCCGAGGAGCCAGACAGCCTGGACAGCGTTTCAGCCTGGCATCTCAAGCGCTGGACCAAGGTGGACACTATTGCTGCCGATGAGAGCTTTCCAGCCTCATCGTCCTCCTTCACCTCCTCCTCCTCCTCCTCCACGTGGACCGTGGGACCTCACAGGACCCATCAGCGCGCTGGGCTACAGTTGAATGTCAAAGAGCGGAGCTTTGGGCCTCTGACCCAGCGTGGTTTCTACGTAGCCTTTCAGGACACCGGGGCCTGCCTGGCCCTTGTCGCAGTCAAGTTGTTCTCCTACACCTGCCCGACTGTTCTCCGTGCCTTTGCCTCCTTCCCTGAGACCCAGGCCAGTGGAGCTGGGGGGGCCTCCCTGGTGGCAGCCGTGGGCACCTGCGTGGCTCACGCAGAGCCCGAGGAGGATGGAGTAGGGGGCCAGGCAGGGGGCAGCCCCCCCAGGCTGCACTGTAACGGGGAAGGCAAGTGGATGGTGGCTGTCGGGGGCTGCCGCTGCCAGCCTGGCCACCAGCCTGTGCGTGGAGACAAGATCTGCCAAGGTGAGAGTCATGCCCCCCCACCTGCTCCGCACCCCTCCTTCCCAACCTGCCCAGCGCCTCCCTCCTGTTCTCACCTCGCGCTCCTCTCCTGAATACCAGAACCCTTGGTCAGGAAGAAGCCAAATGAGGAAATGACCCGTTTCCCCCAATTTCAGTTTCTACAGCACACAGAGTTAACTCATAGCCACCCTTTTGATATTTCTGGAAACTGCAAAGCCTTCGCTAGCAATTGCGAAGAATCCCAGGGATTTGCCAGCCTAATACGTGATAGAGATCAACAACTGTCGAGTTCTTGGCTTAGCATGGGAGGCAAATCCTTTGTGTCCCCCGCCCCGGTCTGCCGTGGGTATCTGGGAAGGAGGTGGAAGGTGCTGGTAGGTATGGTGAAGAACATGGCAGGCCTTGCCCACCTGCAGCCCCCAGCCCTTCTCACTCTGTCACTGGTGGAAATGCAATTCTTTCCCCATGACTGAGAGACTAAATCTTTGCTGCAGGAAAGAGGGGGCCAGGGCCAGGTCTCAGGAGGGATGGAGAGCTATGGAAAGGAAAGGGGGCTATGCAGGTGCACCGGGGTCTTGGGAGGGGCAAATGGAAAGAGTATGCCCTCTCTGTTCTCCTCTCTGTCTCCTCAGCCTGCCCCAGGGGTTCCTATAAGGCCTTGGCGGGGAATGCCCCCTGCTCTCCATGCCCCATCCGTAGCCACGCCCCTGACCCTGCCGCTCCTGTGTGCCCCTGCCTCCAGGGCTTCTACAGGGCCAGTTCTGACCCCCCAGAAGCCCCCTGTACTGGTAAGTCCCCAAGGACCACAGCACAGAAAAGAGCCTGGGAGTGGAGGGCTGGGGTGCAACGGCAGGGAAAGGGGGAGTCCCAACTCCCACCTTCTGGCCCACACCCTCCCGTTCCCCCCTTCCCACCCCACCCAGGCCCTCCATCGGCTCCCCGAGAACTGTGGTTCGAGGTACAAGGCTCAGCGCTCATGCTTCACTGGCGTTTGCCCCAGGAGTTGGGGGGCCGAGGAGACCTGCTCTTCAATGTCGTGTGCAAGGAATGCGGGGACCACCCGGAGGGTGGCGGCGGGGCCACATGTCGCCGCTGCAGGGACGAGGTGCATTTTGACCCCCGCCAGAGGGGCCTGACCGAGAGCCGAGTGTTAGTCGGGGGGCTCCGAGCACATGTCCCCTACATCTTGGAAGTGCAGGCTGTCAACGGGGTGTCGGAGCTCAGCCCTGACCCACCCCAGGCCGCAGCCATCAATGTCAGCACCAGCCACGAAGGTGAGCGCTTTGTCCACCGGAAGGACGTCCTGCCTCAACTCCTCAGAACCCCCTTCCTGCCTGCCCTCCAGTCCCTGGTCTGAGGACCCTTGCCTCCCGTGATCAAGGCTGATCCCAGAGACTCACACTCCCTCCTAACGTCACCGCCCTGCCATTCAGTCCCCTCTGCAGTCCCCGTGGTACATCAGGTGAGCCGGGCGGCCAGCAGCATCACCGTGTCCTGGCCACAGCCTGACCAGACAAACGGGAATATCCTAGACTACCAGCTCCGCTACTATGACCAGGTGCGCCACACCCACGGGAAGGGAAGGTGTGAGCTATGAGGAGACCTCGGACAGCAGTGGGGTGGAGGGGGGAGACAGGGCCCAGGCTTGACCTCAAGTGAATGAATGACCGCTGCCCACAGGCAGAAGATGAATCTCACTCCTTCACCCTGACCAGCGAGACCAACACTGCCACTGTGACACGGCTGAGCCCTGGGCACATCTATGGTTTCCAGGTGCGGGCACGGACTGCAGCTGGCCACGGACCCTATGGGGGAAAAGTCTATTTTCAGACACTGCCTCAAGGTGAGGGGAGGCCTAGATGGGCAAGAGGGAGGCCCAGATGTCTTTGCCATGTCCTTGACCCAGTCTCCTCCAATTGGAGATCAGTGGCTGACCCCTGACCTTGGGGCTATGGGAGGAATGCTTGTGGGGTTGCAGACACACACATACACACACACATCCTGTGTGCTCTGGGGGTTGTGGCGTGTGAAGTGTAGACATGAGTGGGTGTGTGTTGCAGGAGTGTGTATACGTGACCGTTGTGCATGCCTGTGTGCAGGCGAGTGGGGTGCGGCTGCTCTCTTGGGTTTATATCAGGCTTGGCTCCCTGTGACCCCAGTGCTGGTCCCTTAGGTGAGCTGTCCTCTCAGCTTCCAGAGAAGCTGTCCTTGGTGATTGGCTCTATCCTGGGGGCCTTGGCCTTCCTCCTGCTGGCAGCCATCACCGTGCTGGCGGTCATCTTCCAGCGGTGAGACCCCTGCCACTCCCGCCCAACCTGCCCAGCCCCGTTCAAGCCCTGCTGGCTTCAGAGCCATAGCCCCCACCCCACACCCTTCTCCCTGGAGCGGCCCTGAGCCTTGTGCAGCCATAGAGAGGAGGGGCCTGGCAGTGTCCTGTCCCCTCGGGACCTCGGTTGGACAGACTACCCGGCAGGGTGGTCACAGGTCGGCACCATGGGGCAGAAATGGGGGCATCATTCCAGGTTGTTGGTTTATCCCTCAGGAAGCGCCGTGGGACCGGCTACACGGAGCAACTACAGCAGTACAGCAGTCCAGGTGGGGTCACAGAGTGGAGCTGGGGTTAGGGGATTTGGGGCTGGGGTGATGGGAAGGCCCGGTGAGGGGGGGGCGGAGGGTGCCATCTACACCCTCTTCCAGAGGGGAGAAGGCATGTCTGAGTATCTGGGTACCCAGCCTTGAAGCACACGTCCTTAGAGCATGCCCCATCCTGCAGGACTTGGGGTCAAGTATTACATTGACCCCTCGACCTATGAGGACCCCTGCCAGGCCATCCGAGAACTTGCCCGAGAGGTGGACCCCGCGTATATCAAGATTGAGGAGGTCATTGGGGCAGGTACCGCAGGGACAGGGAAGCTCTGGGGAACTGGGGGGCTGGGGGGTCTAAACACAGTGGAACACTGCTTGGTCCTTCCTTGAACCCCCCGACACCTCTTCTCCCAGGGTCCTTCGGAGAAGTGCGTCGAGGCCGCCTGCAGCCACGGGGAAGGCGGGAACAGGCCGTGGCCATCCAGGCCCTGTGGGCTGGGGGTGCAGAGAGCCTACAGATGACCTTCCTTGGCCGGGCTGCACTGCTGGGCCAGTTCCAGCACCCCAACATCCTGCGGCTGGAGGGCGTAGTCACCAAGAGCCGGCCTCTCATGGTGCTGACAGAGCTCATGGAGCTCGGACCCCTGGACAGCTTCCTCAGGGTCAGTTCCGGCTTGCGGGGAAGGGAGGGGGGAGGGGGGGATTTCTGGGGTCTGGGGGAGCTTCGCTTCCTGCCTTTTCCGGGGTGGGCGTCACCAAATTCACCTCTGCCCTCCCACACTGCTCTGGCGTGCCAGTGGCCCTGCCTTCCTCACTGACCTCTGCCCCCTGCCCTTCAGCAACGGGAGGGCCAGTTCAGCAGCCTGCAGCTGGTGGCCATGCAGAGGGGGGTGGCCGCCGCCATGCAGTACCTGTCCAGCTTTGCCTTCGTGCACCGCGCCCTCTCTGCCCAAAGCGTGCTCGTGAATAGCCACCTGGTGTGCAAAGTGGCCCGCCTGGGTTACCATCCTCAGGTGAGTCCTGGATCCAGTGGGCTTGGTATCCTTCAGCAGGTGCTGGGGGGTGGAACGGGATCTGGGGTGGGCGACTCAGGCGGGATAATAGAGGATTGGGGGACAAGGGGGTTGGAGGCTTTCCCCCTGTGATGGGAGAAACAAGTCTGCGTGAGGGGCCATGGAGGGATTTCAGGGACTAAGGCGCAGAAAGGAATTGGGGAGGACAGGAGGCCTACAGAAGTCCCATCCAGCGCCTGCCTTCCCTCCTCCTCCTCCCCCACCCCCACCCCCTATTAGCTGGCACAAGTTCATGTTCTCTGCACCTCAGAGTCTGCATCCCCTGGCCATCCACCCTGCGGGGTCGTTAAGGAGACCCTGAACTCCGATCCCAGCTGGGTCAGTGTGATTCCCTCTGTGTTCTTGTGGCCTGTGCCTCTCAGGGTCCGAGTTCTCTGCTGCGCTGGGCCGCGCCCGAGGTCATCACGCACGGGAAGCACAGCACGGCCAGCGATGTCTGGAGCTTTGGGATCCTCATGTGGGAAGTGATGAGCTATGGGGAACGGCCTTACTGGGACATGACTGAGCAGGAGGTGAGCGCTTCGCCTGCCCCTGGCTCTACCTTGCCGCTCCTCCTGCCTCCCTTCTGTGCTCTGAGCCCTCCATTCTTTAGTCTGCTCACATGGGAAAGTCTTCAGAACTGGTGAAACCAGACCAGCCTCTTTGGGGGGAGGGGGAATCCTTCCCCCCTCCTGCCTCAATGCTGCCTCTGACTCCAATCTACCCCCTTCCCCGCCTTTTCCTCCTAATACTCCTCTCTACTAGCAATAGCTTCTCATCACCGTGTTTCCTGGCCCCCTAGGTACTAAATGCAATAGAACAGGAGTTCCGGCTGCCCCCACCTCCAGGTTGTCCACCCGGACTACATCTGCTGATGCTTGACACATGGCAGAAGGATCGTGCCCGGAGGCCTCACTTTGACCAACTGGTCGCCGCCTTTGACAAGATGATCCGCAAGCCAGACACCTTGCAAGCAGATGGGGCCCCCGGGGACAGGTCTGGAGCTTGGGGTTGGAGCCTGGGGAAACTAGATACAAACCAGAAAGGGAACTGAGGAGAGAGGGCTAAGATGAAGAGGAGAGCCTGACCTGCCTGCCCCTTCCCACCTTAGACCTTCCCAGGCGCTCCTGAATCCCGTGGCTCTGGACTTCCCTTGCCTGGACTCACCCCAGGCCTGGCTCTCGGCCATTGGGCTGGAGTGCTATCAGGACAACTTCTCCAAGTTCGGCCTTTGCACCTTCAGCGATGTGGCTCAGCTGAGTCTGGAGTAAGTGGGGATTTGGGGAGGAGGGGGCAAGGATGCTGGGCCTGACTCGAGGGAGGGTGGCATATCTGGGATCTTGGAGAAGCAGGCCTCGATCTGACCCTCTCCCTCCCCACCAGAGACCTGCCTGCCCTGGGCATCACCCTGGCTGGCCACCAGAAGAAGCTGCTACACAACATCCAGCTCCTCCAGCAGCACCTGAGACAGCCAGGTTCGGTAGAGGTGTGAGTGAGGCCCGGGCAGGAAGCCGAGAGCCAGCGATGCTATGGCCCAGGACTGGATTCAGGGCCATAGAGACATGAGTGAGATAGAAGCCAGGATCCATGTTGAACCCTTCGCCTGGACAGGACGTCCAGTCATCTGGACGCTGCATTCCCCAGCCCCAGCCTCTCCCACATTAAAGAAAAAGAAGGGAATTTACAAGCTCAGGTGTGTCCGGGCCTGAGTCGGTTGGCAGGGAGGGCTCAGGGAGGCCCTCAGGAGAGGCAGATTGGTGGGTGAGATGGCAAGACACTAACGAAGAGAGGGAGAGGCAGGGCAGGGAAATGACTTTATTGGAAGGTGATGAGGCTCAGCCTAGCCTGTCTGTCCCTCAGACACCTGTCCACATGCCCAGTGCTTCAACTCTCCACTGCTCTCCCATTTAAGACACACAGGGGGTGGAAACAGGTGATGGAGAAGGCAAGCCTGTCCTTAAAGTGCTCAGATGAGTAGTGGGACTTCCACAAGAGAATAAGGGATTCTTGGGTTGAGGAGAAGACCACAGCGTTCCCCCTTCTCTTGGCTCCCAAGTGGAAGGAGTTGTAGAGACCCAGGACAGTTTGTCCCAGCATGCCTCCCTTCACGTTCATTTGACTCCACTTTCCCACTTGGACCCAGTGTCGATGAGTGTGGATGGGTTTTGTTCTCAGACCTGGTACTCCCAGCCTTCCCCATCTTCCACGCCTCTGTTGATGATGCCCCGCAAGTCCCTGCGCAGGGTGCCTTGCCGAAGCCTTTCCCAGTTGGTGCTGCTGCGGGAGGTGCTCCGAGACACAGAGGGTGTGGGAAAGGACAGGTAGGGACCAAAGGGACGGCCCAGCTCCAGTTTTTCCCCTGAGTCTTTGTCCAAGTCCTCCGAGCAGAGGGCGTCTTGTGGCTGGAAGGCCTGGGCGTAGCGTAGAATCCGCTGCCGGTTGAGATCCTGCCTGTCTTCCACCCTGTGGAGCACGAGAAGAAGACTTGAGAAGAGTTGAAGAACGTCTGTAAGACCAACGCTGATCTTCCGTTCGCTCCCTCTCCTCCAGCCACACTAATGTTGGCCCTTCTCCTTTTCCATAGCCAGCTTTCAGAAAGCAGCAGGTGGTGGTCCTCCAGCTCTGAGGATGTTTAGGGCTCCAAGCTCCAAATGAAAGCCCTTCCCCAAGAGCGGAACTCAGGCAATAGGCTTTGGACCCCAGTAACTTTGTCAACCTCCATAGGAGGAAGCAGGAAGTCATCTAAGGGAAGAACCACCATGGAATGGTATTTGGTTAGGGAACACCCACCCCGGCACCATCACTCACCGTAGGAACCAGCGGTCCCCCAGCCCATAGTCGCGCCCACAGATCCCTGAGCGAGGCCACAAGCAGCGAGGCAACTTCCGCTCGAGCATCACCGTGGTGGCCACCACCTACATTCAGGGACAGGAGAGGTGACAGAGAAGAGGAGGTTGTCAGAGAGGCCCAGACTGAGGAATGCAGCTGGGGCAGGGGCAGCCAGGGGCAGGGGAATATGTTTAGTAAATGCATGGCAACTAGGGAGCTCATTGTTTCCCAGAGGTGGGATGGGACACCTCTGAACCAAGGTGGCAGTGGGATTCTCCAGGAGAGAATTCTCTGACAAAACTGACAAGGCCCACAATTCACCCTGTGATGTGAGAACCATTGTAAAGTCGGGCAGAGGCCGGTGAGACACCACAGTTTCCTTTGGAAGAAGGGACGACTTCATTCTAAGATGGACAGAGATATGAGCTGGATGGGCCTCAGACTATTTTGACCCTACATAAAATCCATTTATAAGTGTAATGCATTCAACTTGGAAATCTAATATCAGTATGTTTTCATGGAGAGAATATTTCCCTGTTTAGGCAGCCGGGTGTCACTCCATTTCTAACACACCGCAGTTAAATGCCTTCCAGGATATGGAATTTCCATTTTTATTTTGTGGAAATTACTTTTTTTTGAGATAAACTCCTTTTTTCCCCCTAAGTATCTTCTTAAAAAAGGGATTTGATTCATAGCATTGTCTTTATGCACCTCGTGATGCTCTGAATGGTTATAGATGCTGCTGCTCCTCGAGGAGGATTTTATGGTATATTTTTAACACTCGCAATTTTTTTTGGTCAAATTCCACAGACTGAAGTCAAGAAAACTTGGTATTTTCTTACTGGGGAGCAAGATTTACCAAATGAATTTTTAGCCTCCCCTCGCTTTATTTTTTGATCCTTCTAGAACAGGCAGGCTTTACTTGTTGAAAGAAGTGTGAGGGATTCTTTCCAGAGAGTCCAGTATTTCTCAGTACTGTGGTTAATCCAAATCTCATGTACCTTTGGCATTATTCTGCATACTTACTATACAAGAAGTAGCCAAACAATGTAAAGTTCAAGATAAAACATTTACTGGGTAGGAATGGCAATGTTTGCACTAAGCCCTCCCAGCCACCAGGGGGCTCACCTGGGCTCTCCAGAGCTCATCTCTCTCATGAGCCACTCGCCAGTGAGTGTCACCCATCATGGCAATGAGAAGGTTGAGCATGAGCAAGGTGGCGATGATGGCGAAGGCCGCATACGTGATGCTGTACATGAAGGGCAGATCCACGTCATAGTTGGCGGGGCCGTCGATAATGGTGAGGAACAGTTCGAAGGTGCTGAACAGTGCCATGGGGTAGTCGTAGAAATGGCCCAGCTCGTCAGGGTCTTCTGTCTGGAAGATGATATAGAAGGCTGCTCCACCCAAGGGGGTGAGAGTTGCCATGGCAACCGTATCATGACTAGCCCAGAGCCAGATTGTTGTCCCCTGTATCTCCCATCTTGCCATCTCAGCCTAGCGAGACTCATCCTTCTGATCCCAAGAGCTACATTCCTGATTTTCTGTCACCCCCAAGTGACATCCCACCCTCAACTGCACAGCCTTCTCTGAGCTGACCTCTTTTCCTTATGTAGCCAGAGTCATTCCACTCTCTGTGAGTTCCCCAGTCCTTCCCTCCCACCTTGGATAGGTGATTTACCAGAAGCAAAGCCCAGGATCACCACAGCCATCAACCAGCAGAATCGCATTAGGTCTCCAAAAATCATCTAGAGGGAAGGGAAGGCAGAGAGGATGTCACACTTTTGGAGCAGTTGCCCCATCCAGTGCTTGTAGTCTAACCCCAGGTCAGGGATGGGTAGAGTATGGCATACAGGCCAAATCTGCCTGGCCTGTCATGATGTGGTTCTTAAACTAAGAGTAGTTTAAAAAGAAAAGAGAAGAAACAAAGGAGGGCAAGAAGGAAGGAAAGGGATGGAGGGAATGAGAAGAAAGGAAAGAAGGAAGGAAGGGGAAGGAGGAAGCAAGGAAGGAAGGGAGGGAGAAAAAAAGGGAGGGAGGGAAAAGGAAGGAGAAAGAGGAGGGAAGCATGTAGGGAGAGGGAAAGAGAAGAAAAGAAGAAAAAGAACATGCAACAAAGACCATATGATTCACGAACCCTGCACTATTTACTATCCAGCCCTCTGGAGAGCGTTCGCGTAGTCTTCTCTAGGAAGCATGTGGTGGTTGGGGGTGTGTGGGTGACTGACCTTCTGGATCATGATGGTGAAGGGCCCCAGCATTTGGAATCCTCGGGCAAAGTACATGACATTGCACCAGCCCAGCACCAGGGCAAAGGACATGGGCACCACCTCCCCATCCGTGTTGGTGAGCCGCATCACCATGGTTACCAGCACCGTGAAGGCATAGGTGATACTGGAGGAAGACAGGAAGTGTGCGGTAAGAGAGGCTGGGCTCATCCTGAGGCAGTAGGTAGTCCCCATACATTCAAACTCAACCCCTGCCCGCGCCGAACACAGCCCACATCATTAGGGGTGAAGGATCTCCCACGTTAGAAGTTCTTTGGAGACTGGGAAGCCAGAAAGGGAAATGACCCCAAAGGAAGAAGGCATGGGAGTATAAGTGACTCACATGATGACATGGAATGGTCCCCCAAGAATGGTCTGTCCGAAGAAGCGAGTGACTCCCAACCTGAAGATGTCCGGAATCTGGAGCGAATTCAGGGAGACACAAGACACTTACAGACCAGAGCTCAGGCTGGATCCCTGGGGCTGAGGGACTCATCCTGCATCCTGTCCACACCTTACCTCCACCAGCAGGATGATCACAGCCCCAATGATGGTCACCAGCTCCCCAACCAGCCGGAGGTCATCTTTGGGGGTCACATAGGCCTCCTGGGATGGGAGGGGGGAAGTATGGTTAAAACACGCAGGGCATCTGTACTTCTACACTTTCAGCTCTGGGACCAGGGACCACTGGCTGTGTCAGAGATTCTTTCTAACGTGTCAGGCCTGGCTAGTCTCAGTCTCTGACCCTAGAATAAGAATGGGTGTCAGAGTCTTGCTTTGCCCCCTCTGCTCCTCCTCGGGTATTACCTGAAGCAGCTTCTGCTGTAGAAGGGTGTTGTCCCGGGGGTTGGTTCGGTTGGTGGTTCTGGGCTTGAGGGGGCGGTAGACGCAGCACATGGTGAAGCAGATGATGTACACCAAGTAGATGGCGCCCAGCACGCAGAAGTAGGGCCGCCCATACCTCTTCCATTTGAAGCTCACCAGCTCCTTCACGGGTGTCTGGTCCAGGATCTGACGAGCCTGCGTGGAAGAATAGGAACGGCAGCTCCAAGACCCCGGCACCCCTTACCCACACCTTTGTTGCCAAGTCTCCATACCTCTCGCTTCTTGGTGGTGACAATAAGTTCCAACAAGGACTGCTCATCACCTGAGGAGTCGATCTCCGTGAGGTCATAGAGGGTGGAGGTCAGCGGCCCATACGTCCACTGGATGTGCTTCCGCTTCTGCATCAGGTGCTGGAACATCTGACAGCAAGTGGGATGGTCAGGAGTCACAGGTACACGCCACGCCCCAGTCCAGGAGGACCAAGGAGAGAAGGTGGTAGTCTTAATGGCCACCTCTTGGAAGGGCAGAAGAGCCTAGGTTTATCCCTCCCCATCACTCTCTCTAGAGCCTGGAGAGAGGGGAGGAGCAAGAGGGCCACAGTTCTACACTGGGCATTGCAGACAGCTTCAGCACGGGCTGTAGACTGCGTAAGCTGCCAACACTTCCGTGAGATACATTGGGCAAAGAAAGAAACAGGGACAAGGGACAAGAGAAGAGACAACTCCCAATCTGGGCTGGGAATGGCACCAAGGTGTCAAGGAGGAGTGTTTG